ACAAAAAAGACAGATTTATCCCCACAATGGAAGATGCAAATTAAAACTAAATCCTAAAGCACAGCCATGTGTAGGTCCTTCTATAAAAATATATATTCATGCTATCATAGGAAAGAAGGCTTGGAATTGTTTGGAACAACTGGCAAAAAAAAAAACCTTAAAATTGGGACCACTTTGACAATTTTGATAAGTCGGATAAAACAAAATCTAATGTCATGGAAGTTAGAAGAATTGAATCACTCTTGACTGATGAAATGATTCAAGACATTTGTAGTACAAGGGAGATTATGGGACATGAAACACATGATTGTTGGTTAGTCACATGTTGTAGACGTGTCCCCGAACGCCCCGGGAGGGTGAGCTCCCGTTCTGTTCATTTGGGTCACTACAGCTCAGGACTCTCAAATTGTCACAGTTCATATCTGAACCAAAGAGTCCAAATCCTGCAAATTGTTTTGAGAAAACAGATTTTGAAAGAAGTGCCAAACATGGACTGCTTTGCCAGATACAGAGTCGCCACCTAAATATTTTATTTTGGGAATTTAGGAAACCCTGACTCGTTTGCCTAAGGCCACGTGTCCGTCATCACCAAGGTTGCCTTCAACTCGGAAACTTGGGTACGATTTGGGAAGGTCACTTCGTGAGCACCCCCGCCGCCCGATCAATATCGACCTCTACTAAACTATGATATCTAGTTTTGAAAACATTATGCGTTCTTATTCCGGTTTATTAGCCTAGATTTACTATGGATGCGCCAGCATACAAGTATAGACTGGTCACCTGAATTGGAACAAAACATTTCATGTTGTTTTGAAGATGGTTTCTACTCGCAAGTAGGCTTAAAGATGCAGATTTGCCACCCTCAGGTGGGCTTAAGAAAATATGGTTTTGCCACTATCTAGTGGGCTTAAAACACACATTTGATGAATTTTCCATCCAAATAACCTAACCTTCACCCACAGGCATTCAGGCAGATATATCACATAAGCCATTAGCCTCATGGTAAGCATGCTATTCATGGCAATCACATCACACGCATGCAAGGATGCTAAAGCATAAAACTCACCGAGTACTCCAAGCTAAAAAAGAAGCTAATTAGAAATCTATGCATGATCTTAATTATACAGAAATGCCTAATGCAACACATGCAAAAATGTAACTATAGCAGGCTCGACTATTCTAAACATGGCATATAGATGCAATAGCTAACAAGTATTCAACTTGGAATTGAAAATACGATGCAGTTAGTTTGATCGCCGCCCGGTGCATGCAAAACAGATAATGAATGCAAAACATGCTATCATACTGTATGCTAATTGAAATATGCCCTAATCTAACCATCATAAGCAGATAAATAAAAAGGAGAAAGATATAGACGTGGGGTTGGAAGACATACATCACACACACGTACACTTATTACAGTTGTGCCCTCGCTCAGAGGGTCCGAATAAATAAGTACAGTCCCGAATAAATACAGTCCGAATAAATAATACAGTCCAAATATGTACAAAACCCTAATTAATTACCAAATTAACTAAGAAAACAATAAACTGGCATGCATGCCAGGGACTGCCTTGACTCCGATGAATGATGTATGCCTGGGCTGCCTTGCGTGGAAATCCACTGGGATGCCCCAATTAGCCTCTGTTTTGCAATGATTTCTTGGAAAGCGCGCCAAGCCTCGGAAGACTGCTGATTCTTGATTTGCTGCAACAGAGAGCAGGAAAGGGGCATGGCAATGTATTTTCACAAATGTATGCATGCCTCGATCCTCGTGCCACCAATCACGCATCTCGATGCATGATGGCCGAGGAGTCGAATTGCATGACTCAATATAGAATGGATGCACATGAAAACTCAACTAAAACCTAACTCCATCATGGATAATCCGGAGTGTCGGTGACTGGAAATTGAGACACGTTCCGTCACTCGAAGTACGAAACGTTCCTCGTTTCCCGTGCTCGGGCTAACTCCTATCCCAAGCACAATACAATATGCGTGATATGCATGAAATGCAACTAAGATACAACCTAGCATACACAATGCTATGAAATGGCATATACGATGCACGAGATAACATGGCATACACAATGCGCTAACATACATCCTAGCATACGCAATGCTATGAAATGAAATGGCATACACAATGCAATATGGGCTTACACCAACACAAGTGGACCTCAGCCACACTCACATAGGAGGCCATAAGATGAAAATGAGACAACTCGGAATGCGTGCACACATGCACGCAAACTGAGGACCGACCCTAAGGCACAAAATGCCACTCTAACGAGACATGGCAAGGTATGAAATATGATATGCAAACATGCAAATTTCAACAGCAAAACATGACCCAAAACAATCCCGAATCATGGCAAAATGACACCCGATGCATGAAATGGTCCTGAAATGCAAGATTAAGCACATGAAATGACTTGTAGCTACATCAAGCATGCATTATTTGATCATGACATGTGAAGACAGATTCAAGGTAGCCCCAAAACAAGCATGTTTGCAGTTCTAAGCGAGGCCAAACAACAAACACAAATAGGGCAAAACTAGCGTGCAAAAATGGCCCTAAATGTGAGATAAAGAAGCAAGCCACAGCTGCCGGCCCCAAACAGATGAGGACCCTTCAACAATGTTGAATAGGGGTCCAAAATATGATATTTTACAGTTTATGGCAAACCACAAAAACCAACACAGGTATGGCTAAGCTCTCATACAAGAAATGGGCCAAAAGAGGGGCAAAGGAGCAAGTGGCGGTTTCTGGCCTCAAACACAAAGGGGCCCTTCAACAATGTTGAAGAGGGGTCAAAAATATTGCACTTTACAGTTGATGGCCGGACCCAAAACAGTATGCATGCAAGCCTAATATACTATGCAAAATGAGGCCAAAAAGAGAGATATAACACAAAGTGTATAAAGGATGCCTCAAACCATGAAAGACCCTTAATGAAACATGAAGAGGGGGTCAAAATAAAGTCATTTTCAGTTCGGACCAAAGTCCAAAAACAGAAGCAAAAGAGGCTAATAAATCATGCAAAAATATGGCCAAAAGAGAGATATAAAGGCAAGTGGCAAATGGAGGCCACAAACAGTGATGAGCCCTTCAACAATGTTAAAGAAGGGATCAAAATAAGCAACTTTACAGTTTATGACATGCCTCAAAACAGTCTACACATAGGCCAAAAATACTACACAAGGAATAGGCATACAAGAGGGATAATGAAGCAAGTGCAATAAGGAGACCTCAAACAGTGAGAGGCCCTCAAACAAAAGTGAAAAGGAGCTCAAAATAAGCCTAACTCCAGTTAGGATCGGAGCCCAAAACAGCAAGCACAAGGAGCTAGAATAGCATGCAAAATATGGACCAAAAATGGGGAAATGGAGCTTACCCTTGTAGACCAATCTTTTGGCAACTCTTGGACCAAAATGCAGCACTCTTAGGCTCTGGAGAACACCCTCAAACTGCTGGAATGGAGGATGGAAGGGTGGGACTATGGGTTGATGAAGAAAGGGGGTATAGGACTTGAGAGTTTTTGAGCTTTGAATAGAGAGGGAGAGAGATATAATGCAAAGGGCTTGAGGGGGAATTTTGTAACCCTAAACCAGCAGCTGGAGCTGCTGATATATAGGCCAAAGAGGGGGGAAAATGGGGGAAAAAATGGAGGGAAAACCAACCAAGTTTCCCTCCAAAATGCAGCCCCCCCGGATCCAGAATCTGGGGGGAAAATGAAAGCACTTCTGCACCGTAGATGATGTGAGGATCCTGGCCGGCCAGTTATCCAGGTTGCAGGTGGCCGGCCGGCTACTTCCCATGGCCGGCCGGCCAAGGGTCAAAAGGGTCAAGTGTGATTAATGGCCGGCCACCACAGAAAGAGGGCCTCTGATGTATGCACAACACAACCCTGTGGTTAAGCACTGGAAAAAGTGAACTAGGAGAGAGAACAACCCATTTCAAGGAGGGGTTCAAAAGGGTCAGAAAGGGTTACTGGCCGGCCACCAAATATTGGTGGCCTCCCAGATGTGTACATCACAAATATGTGGTTTTGGGTGCAAGAAAATGGTCCAAGGGTGTTCAACAATGGCTCTGAAGTGAGGAAAAACGGGCGACAGAGGGCGATGAAGGGATAAAGTTGGCTGACAGAACAATTACTGGGCTCCCACCCTTCTACGGCCTTCTTACCAATGAAACAGAGGTCCCCGCCAAAAATGAACCAAAACCAATGCAGAATGAAGGTTCGGGGGCCGAAACACGAAGTTCGGGGCCCCGAAAACGGGCTGTTAGGCACCGGGAGTGGTGTTCGACCACGAAGTCGGTCTCTCGGACCACAGTGTCCCTCAAAAGGGAGCAAATAAGAAGTATGCCAAAAACCGGAGCAAACGGAGATGGTTAAGCGGTCCCGAACCGAGGCACACGGCCAATGGCTCCGAAAAATCGGAAACCGGACTCCAAACGGGCAAAATGGCCTACGACCACAAAACGTAACTTACGGCCACTGAGAGATGATCTACGAGACCTCTCCCTCCCTTCGCAAAGAGAAAACAGAGAAAACAGAGCCTGGTTCGCAAACCGAGGCAAAGCATGAAAGAGTTCGGAAGTCCGGAGGCAAGGCTCGCAGCCGAGACTCTGAAACTTCTGAACGAGCACAATATGCAATATCACCGAGCGCTCAACTGGTGACGTCTGAGTCTTAAGGTCGGTTAAAAATGGGGTGTCTACACATGTCTAACAAGATGTCACATAGTCAAGGCAAGTACCCCGAATGTCGAAAACCATGACAAATATAAACAAATCAACAAGATAATGAATTTCCAAGAATATTTTTTTTTTCATTCGAGTTCCAGATTTACAAATCAAAAAAATAAATAAATAAACAAATGCTTTCATCAAATCTGCCAAACATCCCAAAGAGCTAATAGAACAATTCTATATGTATTGAATCTGCATCCCTATGCCTTCAAAGTGTAACAATCATAACTTCAAACCCACTAACCTGAAAGCTCTGAGATCAATATTCAAGTAGAGATTAAAGTGCTTGCACATGCCACTTCTTCTCCATGAACCTGCTAAATGAAAAAAAAATTACCAAAAAAATGTGAGCCCTACTGAGAACTAGAACGTAATCACATGTTGGTTGTTGCAACAACAAAACATTAAATGTCTCGAAAAGCACTAACCTGGGGAAAAACACATAAGCAAAACCAAGCTTCATCCTTTTAAATGCTTCATCAAACTATATGCTCATGCTCTGATAAGCATCAAAGTCACACAATATACCAATTTATTTAATTCACCTTGAGTGCATGCACAAAAGGAATTACAGAAAGATATCAATAATGGAGCTTTTCATTAAGAAAATTAAAAATACTCAGCAGTATAAAAAATGCCATGAAAATAACAACATAAAAAAAGCATGCACCCATGCAACTAGTAATGGATTTTTACCGACAGCATCAAGCAATACCAACAAACTATTCACTATTCCTTGTGAAGATCGCTCCCAGCCTTCTTAGCAACAGCATCCAGTCCATTCTTCTTTACGGTCTTTATTGCCTTGGTTGACAACTGCAACTTGATGTAACGTTTCCCTGCCTCCCACTAGATTATTTTGTATTGTAGGTTCACAAACTGCAACTTCTTTGTCTTGTGGTTCAAGTGAGAAATCTTGTTTGCCCTGTTCACTTTTTTCCCCTTAAAGAATAATGAACCACAACATCCATAACTAAACCTCATTTAATTTTCCAATTCTGATTTCAAGTAAATTACGAGTCAACTTCCATATAGACACAAACACAAAGTCACTGCTCCAGCCTAGCAATGTCATCCATTTCTTGTCTTAGAATCATACCATTCAAACATAACCATATTTCTACTAACAATGAAATAGTTGACATCACAACTGTGAATAGTAGGATAAATCCTTGTCATGTTTTATGTGGCTTTTAAAGGCCTAAAATCATCCTTCTGAGTGAAATTGTTAATAACACAGTCCTGGAGTTAATTAGAGTATAAATATTGAATCTATAAATGGTGGAGGAGAGCTTGAAAGAAATCCTGTTCCATGAACTACTGATACAAATACAGAGTACCAACATGAAATTGCTGTGGAAATTGAAATTTAAAAAATCAAGTAATCTTAAGGAATCTGCTACATTAGTTCAAGTGGGAGAACAGATAGTTAAACCTGGTTAAATCTAGCTGAACTTTACCACACCCGACCAATAAATAAATCATGAAGTTCAACAAAAGGTGTATGCGAGAACCTACAAAAAATTTAATTATACTTGAAAATGGAGACATGAATCATGACAAGCCAAGAGGGAATGGAAACCTTCATGTAAATGGAGCGTATGTCATAAAATCTTTATTTTTTTATACAAATAAATTTTGATTTTTTCTGACACAAATAAACTCTGATTCAATCTTCTTAGATAAAGAATAGGGAATGTAAATGAGTACAGAAAATTAAGAGCCTAATCACACAACTATGTACTATATGTTTTTAGATCATGGATTTGGATAGGGATTTGGAAAGGGAAAGGGAAAGGGAAAGGGAAAGGGAAAAGCAGAAAAAAAATTAACTTTTATTTCATTCACATCTTTTATCTTTCTCTTCATAAATTCAATCCAAATGCAACCATATAAGTGATTTCAATTTTAATACTATAGAAACCAACCAAATAATTTATTTTATTTTATTTTTTATCCATCACTATGCAACCAAATAATTTAATGTAAGATGTCCCAGTATGATTACACTGATGTTAGTAAAAACAAGTGCCATTGTTGGCCCTCTTTACAAAAAAGTATTCATAGTTTTATTTTGCTCGATAGCAATTAACCCAAACCAATCCAAAAACAGACCACTTCTCAGAGTTCTCAACCAAACAAACAGAGACATATCATGACTTACCCAAAAACCAAATACCAGAAACACATACCAAAAACATATATCTACATCTACACTATCTATACTATTATATAAACCCAACTCAAGCCATCTATTGAGGAAAGTTTCAATTCAGTGTAGTCTGAGCACCATACATTCAAATCAACGAAGGATAATATGATAAAAATACATCAATCAATAAATTAAACCATAATATCCATAATTAAACCTCATATAATTCCAATTCTCATATAAAGTAAATTAAGAGTTAATATTGCCATTGAAAAAGGGAATTAAAATGGTCAAAAAGACTTGGATCTATAGGACAATTTTTTTTCTCCATCTTCTACATTAAAACAGAATCCTGAAGAATCAAATTTGCAAACACAAAGCTATACAAAGCTTATAAAGATTGAAGATGAACTCTCAAAAACATATCTACACAAATGCATAGTAGAATCCAATGCTACATCAGAGAAAGGGTATACATATAGATATCAAACAGACCTGAAAAATTAAAAGATTTAAATTCGTACAGATCAGATCTGAGTTTGTGTGTATATATATATATCTCTTTAGATGTGAAATAAAAGAAATACTTACAAATCTGAGTTTGAGTATTGTAAGTATGAGACAGCAATGATAAATCAACGAATGATGGATCTAATAAACACAGAAAATCAGAAAAGAGAAGCGCAGATCTGATAGAAACAACCTTTAAACTCGAAATCTTTATTTTCAAACTCTAGAGCCTTCAAAATATCTTCTGTTCAAACTCGAGAGCCTTCAAAATGAATCTGGTGTGGAGAGAGAGAGACAGAGAGAGAGAGGGTTTTGAAAGGGGATCTGATGAGTTTGAAAGAGAGAGACGGAGTTTTGTTACGTAATGGTGTGACGAATATATCTTTAAACTGACATTCGTTCGACCTAAATCTTAGACAGTATCTTCGAAACGTTGTCGTAAATTGATCAATAAAGGCGTTTTAAAAAATGCCATAATATAAGCGCCATAATATGCAATTTTTCTTGTAGTGAAACAAACAAAAATACCATTTGTATGTCTATTTTATATTTTTGGCAAGTACTTGTATCCATATTTTATGCTGCTCACACTTGCCAAATTTTCAAATTTCAAATTGATTTATGTTTACTCCTGTCCAGGATATATGATTGGCCATAATTCTTTCCATATATGCATTAACCCATCTTTTTATAAGCAAAAAAAAGCAATCAATCTATGTTACTTTTTCCATATGCACTTCAACACATGCATACATATATACATACATATATTAAAGTGCATGTATTATTTCATTTTTCTATTTCCATATGCAATAACATATGCACTTCAACATATGTATCACACATACAATGTACACTACAAGTCTACAACAAAGACAGACACTGGTTACCAGCACCCATCCAATAATGAGCATATCCAATGTGTATATATATACTAACGTCAAACTCGTGTTACGCACGGTTAATGTATGTTTATTATTGATATGTTAGTTTTATTTTAACAAAAAAAGACTAACTAAATTATTTTAAAATTACAAACAAATCAATTCAAATAATAATGCAATCAAATTTACACTTATTTTTCTTCAAATTACATCAAAAGTAATAAAAAAAATTGCATTTGATTATGAGATATCATTGTATTCATTCAAAATCCCGCAATAGTTGCCAAATACAAAAGGTTACTAAACAAAAAAAATTAAAAAATTTAAATTGTGAGTCAGAGACTACGGAGAGTAACAATATTTTCATCAAACACTACGGAGAGTAACCTATTCATGAGTCAAAAACTTTAAAATAATAATATTATTATTATTATAATAAAAATCAAAGGAAATATAGATTTCAGGTTCAGACAATTTAAAATAATATTCATCTATGCTTGTAATAACCTTTCATTGACTGGTCTTGCATTCTCTCTATAACTCAAAATCTGTATGCCTATTTTAATTTTTAAAGTATTTAAACCAAGAAAGAATGTGCATATATGTATTTTGAATTTTATACAGTCACACGGTTAGTAAAGACTCCCGGTGATTTTCCTCACACTGTTGATAAAAAAAACTCATTGTGAATAGCCTTACATTATTCGTGAAGAGCAGTTATTTGGTGGGAAAAAAACAAAGTAGCAATGTGTGGGGGCCGAATAATTGGCATAATCAGAAGGGCGCACTCTACAAGACGGATACTACTCGGCTCCATCCTGCACGACCAGGAGGCCGAGTGAATTAGATAGGCCGAGTATCTATTAAATTATGAAGCCGAGTAAATAAGAGAATGATGAGTGAAAAGTGGGCCAGGCCCCGAGGCCCAGGAAACGGGTATAAATAAAGGGGCAATAGACGAGGAAAGGTATGTGAGAACTATTAAGCTTAACTTAGAATACAAGTAATTTTGAGTGCAGAGACTAACTTGTCCGTCAGAGTGCTAATTTCGGCACCCACGACCGGAGTCTTTATTCATTTTCAGGTGACTAGCAGAGGAACACGAGCGTCCCCCAGGATCAGAAAAGTATTTCCAAACCACATCCCCACAATTGGCACCGTCTGTGGGAATACTCAAACACATCCATGGAGGGCGTAACGGAAGACCCTCCGATAGTCACTGATGAAACCACGCAGAGAGACGACCTCACTCCAACAAACATGCTTGGATCGGAGACTATCCCTGTAAGACGCGCTTTGAATTTCGCCTCACCCTCGACTCCAGAGCATGAAGCAATGCAAACGATCATAGAACAAGCAAAGCAAAACGAACAAAGGTTGGAGAACATGATTGCAGAGAACGAACGTCTCCGTCAGGATTTGGCCTTGGAGGTGGCTAAGTCCAAACAAGCTGTACACCAAGGCCCGGAACGACCTATGAAGGTAGGTGGTCGACGATCTCGAGCCCGACAACAAGACACTGATAGCAACTCCGACTCATTATCCCCGGAGCCTAAGAAGAAGGGACGATCTGAAACTTCCAGTTCTTCTGAAAAGAGTCCCCGTATAAGGCATAAGCGAAGAAAAAACAATTCAGATGAAGATCAACACGATCCTTTTGTTCGACAGATTGCAAAGGCAGTGCTACCCAAGAAATTCAAAGCACCGTCATTCACCCTGTATGACGGAAAATCAGACCCCACCGATCACATCCGCCATTACAAGCAAGCTATGACACTGCATGCGGATGACGAGGCTTTGATGTGCAGGATATTCCTGAGCAGTTTGGGACCACTATTATAAACTAGAGCCGGCTTCAATTAAAAGCTTCCACCAACTCCAAAATCCTTCAGAGCAAGGTTCATCACTAATGAGGTCTAGCCGAAACAAGCCGACTCTCTCTGGGCAATGCAAATTCAAAAGGGGAAACCCTTCGTGCTTATTTGGCTCGGTATTGGGAATGCTTTAATCTGGTAGACGATGCTTGCAATGACTCCATGGCCATCACCGCCTTCAAGATGGGACTGCATCCCGACAGTGCCCTCCGCAGCTCTTTGACCAGACGGCCTCCCAAAACAGTTTGGTTGTTGATGAAGAAAGTTGAAGAATACTGTAAAGTGGAAGATGATGCATTGCTGGTTAAAGCCGGAAATGTGATTAACAAGATGGCCCCTGCGGAAATTGCTCAGCCGTTAAATTCTGTAGCGCACCCCAGAGCCCTGAACCACGGCACCGGGCAAAACGAGATAAGAGGCGGGATTCTCGCCGATCAAGCGACCGCTGCTCCCACCGAGAAAATGAACAACTGCAAGTCGACAGCAGGCACACGAGGCGAGCCGACAAGAAATATACGAAATTGATAGAGCCGATCAGTGTGGTTATGTCCAAAACCCAACACCTTCTGTTCTTTAAGTGGCCTTCAAAAATGGTGAGACCTCCCGACACGAGGAGACGAGATAGATAGTGTGAATATCACAAGGACCATGGCCATGACACAGAGAACTGTTATGCACTGAAGGATCACCTGGAGGAATTGGGTACAAGATGGGCGCCTACAACAGTACGTCCGAAAAAGCAACCCAACCAAAGCAATAGCCTTAAGACAAGATTCACCTCCGCTCGGCATGATCCATATGATATACAGCCTGCCAATGACATCAGCGGTGCATACGATTCAGTCGAATCCCGACCTTCAAAATCAACTCACTATGGCTAAACGGCCCCATGAAGCTGCAAGCATTACTTTTGATGATTCAGATTTGGACGGAGTAACACTGTCCCACATCGACCCCTTGGTAATTGAGTTGCGCGTAAACTGATTCATAGTTGAGCGCGTACTCATTGATCTGGGAAGCACATCGGAGGTCATGTACTACAAGACATTCATCAAATTCGGCTTCTCCGAATCAGATCTCTCTCCGGCTCCTTACCCACTATTCGGCTTCAACGCCAATCCAGAGTACCCGTTGGGAAAAATCATACTACTCGTTCGAGCAGGCTCCCGAACAGTGGATGTGGAGTTCTTGGTCGTCAAGCTGCCGTCGCCGTATAATCTCATCATGGGGCGATCTTGGTTGCATACTACGCAAGCCGTGCCAAGCACCTATCATCAGCTGCTACGCTTCCCGACAGAGCGCGGTATTGAGCAAATCCGTGGCTCCCAAAAATCAGCACAAGCATGTTATCTCCTTGCTGAAAAAACACCAAAGGAGCTGCAGGTGAATTCTATTGAGGTGCCAGATCGAGAGAGCCTCGACGATGTTGGGCGGCTCCCAAATGAAACGGCCACAGAAAGTTTAGACCAAGTTGAAATCGATGGAAACCCAGACAAATTCTTCATGGTCGGCGTATCCCTGAATCAGGTCGACAGATAGCAGCTAATCTCTTTCCTGCTCATCAACCTTGATGTCTTTGCATGGACTCCATACGAGATGCCAGGTATAGATCCGTCCATCTCGCAACACCATTTGAATGTTGATCATAAGTGCAAGCCGATTATTCAAAAAAGCCGGCGGTCAGCCACAGAGCACACCGCCGCCGTTGTTGAGGAGGTTGACAGGCTACTCGAGGCCGGGGCAATCAGGGAAGTGACCTACCCTACATGGCTCTCTAACACAGTGGTTGTGAAGAAGAAAAATGAGACTTGGCGAGTTTGCGTCGATTTCACTGACCTCAACAAAGCCTGCCCCAAAGATTGTTTTCCCCTACCCAGAATTGACCAACTTGTCGATGCAACGGCACGCCATCAACGCATGAGCTTCCTCGATGCTTACAGAGGATACCATCAGATCGCCATGCATCCTGAGGATCAAGAAAAAACTGCATTCCTCACCCCAAGAGGAACTTACTGCTATAAGGTTATGCCTTTTGGGCTGAAGAACGCAGGGGCAACTTACCAAAGACTAGTCACGGCTATGCTCAAGGAGTAACTCGGCCGCACTATGGAAGCGTTCATTGATGACATGGTAGTCAAGTCTAGAGAAGAGCAAACCCATCTAGCCGATCTAGAAGAAACGTTCGGCATCTTACGCAAATACAAAATGAAGCTGAATGCTTCCAAATGTGCGTTCGGGATCGGCTCCGGCAAGTTCTTGGGTTACATTGTCAACCACCGGGGAATCGAGGCCAACCCACGGCAAATCACAGCAATCTTGGAACTCAGCTCCCCTCGTTTAGTAAAAGAGGTTCAAAAGTTGATGGGGATGGCCGCGGCACTCAATACGTTCATCAGTCGGCCTACAGATCGCTGCCGACAATTCTTCCATATACCACGGTAGGGCAAGGCTTTTGAATGGTCCGCCGAATGCGAAGCCGCTTTCAACGGCCTCAAGACTTACTTCCGCTCAGTACCACTCTTGACAACACCTGTTGCTGGCGACCCGCTCATTTTGTATTTGGCAGTATCCGACAAGGCCGTCAGTGCCGTACTAATAAAGGAAGAGCTGGGAGAATAGCGGCCAGTGTATTACGTGAGCAAGGCAATGGTTGACGCTGAAACACGCTATCTTCCGCTGGAAAAACTCATCCTAGCCCTAGTTATAGCGACAAGAAAACTGATGCATTACTTCCAAGGACATAGCATTGGGGTGCCAACAGATTATCCCCTCCGATCAGTATTACGAAGTGCAGAAGCATCAGGACGTGTTTCAAAGTGGGCTCTTGAACTCGGCCAGTACGACATTCAGTTTCTACCTAGAACCTCAATCAAGGGCCAGGTGCTAGCCGACTTTGTTGCCGAATTCACTGGGGGTCTGGCTGATTTCAAGTCCGATGACATTCGACCGGAGTCGAACTGGAGAATTTATGTTGGGGACATCTGGCAGTTGTACTGTGATGGATCATCCAATCAGCGGGGTAGCAGAGCTGGAGTTGTGATCATGGCCCCCAACGGCACAATAATTGAGCAGGCCGTCAAGCTCGGCTTCGAAGCGTCAAATAACAAAGCCGAATACGAAGCCCTTCTAGCCGGTTTGCGGAATGCACATCTTCTGGGTGCTCGGTGCTTGCTTGTATTTTGCGATTCAAAACTGGTGATCAATCAGCTAAAAAGGGAGTACGCGGCAAGAAACGACCGTATGG